ATGCGAAGAGCTCTGGTGTCGTAATCCAGCATTTCCAGACGCCTTCAATACTTCTCCAAATTTGTGGAAGCACACAAACTCTATTAAGACACGTTTAATTACGTTTTATTTAATCAAGTGTGTCTCAGATGGTAGACCGCTTTGCAAACAACAGGTATTAGAATCATAACTAGGATCCTCAAAGGTTTCCAGTATATTTTCGAACTTACCTGTTTTTAACGTTTTGGTAGGTATATCCGAGGGGATGTAGCTCAGATGGTAGAGCGCTCGCTTAGCATGCGAGAGGTACTGGGATCGATACCCAGCATCTCCAACTCTTCACAAAATTGTTTTTAACAACACAGGCAATATTGAAATACGTTTAACCATAATATAATCGATTAGATCTAGCTCAAATGGTGCACCCATTCCTTGCCATACGACTTATACTGCGTCGGTATCCAACTCCCCCAAAGGTGTTAATGCTTTTCCAAATTTATCTGTTTTTAATCACGGGAACAGTATTAAAACACGTTTAAGTGTGATCCATTCGAGGGGATGTAGCTCAAATGGTACAGCGCTCGCCTTGCATGCGAGAGTTACCCTGTATCTCCAAAGCTCTGAAATGTCTTTTCAAATGTACCTCTTTTTAATAACACAGGGAATATTGAAATACGTGTAAGTATATGTTTAAGTGTATGTTATTCAAGGGAATGTAGCCCAAATAGTAAATCACTTGCCTACTATGCGAAAAGCTGTGGTGGCAGTATCCAGCGTATCCAGATGCCTTTACTCTTTTTCAAATTTGTGTTTAATCACGTAAACTGTATTAAAATACGTTTAAATGTCTTTTATCTAATAAAGTCTTTCTCAGATGGTAGAGCGCTCGCTTCTCAAACAAGAAGTATTGGAATCCATACGCAGGATCTCCAAAGGTCTCCAATATATTTTCAAACTTCTGTTTTTAACAACGCAAACAATATTAAAACATGCTTAAGCATATTAATGTCAATACGACGTAGCTTAGATTGTAGAGCGATCGCTTACCATACGATATAAACTGCATCGATACCAATCATCTCCAAAGGTACTTCATGTTTTTCCAAATTTACCTGTTTTTAATAACGCAAACAATATTAAAACGTGTTAATATATACTAAATTCAGGGGGATGTAGCTCAGATGGTAGAGCGCTCGCTTAGCATGCGAGAGGTACTGGGATCGATACCCAGCATCTCCAAGTTTTCACAAAATTCTTTTTAACAACGCATACTATATTGAAATACGTTTAACCATAATATAATCGATTAGATCTAGCTCAAATGGTGCACCGATTCCTTGCCATACGACTTATACTGCGTCGGTATCCAACTTCCCCAAAGGTGTTAATGCTTTATCTGTTTTCAGTGACGCAGACAATATTAAAACATATTTATGTGTACGCAATTCAAGGAGTTTAAGCTGAGGCCTCGCTCCTCAAGCAAGAGGTACGGGAATCGATACCCAGAACCTCCCAAGGTTTCAGATATTTTTCTAATTTATCTGTTCTTTAATAACGCAAACAATATTAAAACACGTTCTTTTTTTAATATTCAACGTGGTGTAGCTCAGATAGTAGAGCGCTGGCCTTGCATGCAAGAGGTACTTGTATCGACACCCAGCCTCTCCAACGGTGTTCAATGATTTTCCAAATTCATAGGTTTTCAATAACGCAAACAATATTAAAACAAAATTGAAAGTATGTTACACGTTTAAGCGCATGTTATACAAGGGAATGTAGCCCAAATTGTAGATTGCTTGCCTACCATGCGAAGAGCTCTGGTGTCGTAACCCAGCATTTCCAGATGCCTTCAATACTTTTCCAAATTTGTGGAAGCACACAAACTGTATTAAGACACGTTTAATTATGTTTTATTTAATCAAGTGTGTCTCAGATGGTAGACCGCTTTGCAAACAACAGGTATTAGAATCATACCTAGGATCCTCAAAGGTTTCCAGTATATTTTCAAACTTACCTGTTTTTAACGTTTTGGTATGTATATCGAAGGGGATGTAGCTCAGATGGTAGAGCGCTCGCTTAGCATGCGAGAGGTACTGGGATCGATACCCAGCATCTCCAACTCTTCACAAAATTGTTTTTAACAACACAGGCAATATTGAAATACGTCTAATCATAATATAATCAACTACATGTGGCTCAGATGGTACAGCGATCGCTTGCCATACGACATATAACGCAACGATACCCATCATCTCCAAAAGTTCTTTATGCTTTTCCAAATCTATCTGGTTTTAATAACGTAAATAATATTAAAACATGTCTATATAAACGCAATTCAAGGGGATGTAGCTTAGATGGTTGAGCGCTCGCCTTCCATATAAGAGGTACTGGGCAGATACCCAGCATCTCCAGTATTTAAAGGCCGTGATGTCGATCTCCAGAATCCTCAAAGGCCCTCAATGCTTTTTCATGTTTATGTGTTTAATCACATAAATTGTATTAAAACACGTTGAAGTGTCATACATTGCAGAGGATGCTGCTCAGATGATAGACCGCTCGGATACTATACTAGAAGCAGTGGGGTCGACACCAGCATCTGCAGATGCCTTGAATGACCTTTATATGTTTTTAATAACCCAAACAATATTAAAACACGTCTAAGTATACACTACTCGATGGTACGTAGCTCAGATTATGGAGCGCCTCAGTCCTATGTTGAGAGGCACTGCTATCATACCCATTATCTCCATTGTTTCTAACGTTGTTTTTAACAACGCAGGCAATATTGAAATACGTTTAATCGTTATCTACTTAAGGTGATGTAGCTCAGACGGCAGAACAATCGCGTGGCATCGGATATATACTGGGGTAGATACCCAGCATCTCCAAACGTCTTGAATATTTTTTCAAATCTGTCTTTAATGAAGCAAACAGTGTTAAAACACGTTTAAGTGTGTTCTACCCAAGGGGATGTAGCTCAGATGGTAGAGCGCTCGCTTAGCATGCGAGAGGTACTGGGATCGATACCCAGCATCTCCAACTCTTCAGAAAACTGTTTTTAACAACACAGGCAATATTGAAATACGTCTAATCATAACTTTATCAACTACATGTGGCTCAGATGGTACAGCGATCGCTTGCCATACGACATATACCGCAACGATACCATCATCTCCAAAAGTTCTTAATGCTTTTCCAAATCTATCTGGTTTTAATAACGTAAACAATATTAAAACATGTCTATATAAACGCAATTCAAGGGGATGTAGCTTAGATGGTTGAGCGCTCGCCTTCCATATAAGAGGTACTGGGCAGATACCCAGCATCTCCAGTAGCTTTAATATTTTTCAAACTCACCTGTTTTTAATCATGCAACAATATTAAAATACGTTTGTATATAACACTTGTCGCTCGCCTACCATGTGAAAGGCCGTGATGTCGATCTCCAGAATCCTTAAAGGCCCTCAATGCTTTTTCATGTTTACGTGTTTAATCACATAAACTGTATTAAAACACGTTGAAGTGTCATACATTGCAGAGGATGCTGCTCAGATGATAGACCGCTCGGATACTACGCCAGAAGCAGTGGGGTCGACACCAGCATCTGCAGATGCCTTGAATGACCTTTATATGTTTTTAATAACCCAAATAATATTAAAATACGTCTAAGTATACACTACTCGATGGTATGTAGCTCAGATTACGGAGCGCCTCAGTCCTATGTTGAGAGGCACTGCTATCATACCCATTATCTCCACTGTTTCTAACGTTGTTTTTAACAACGCAGGCAATATTGAAATACGTTTAATCGTTATCTACTTAAGGTGATGTAGCTCAGACGGCAGAACAATCGCGTGGCATCGGATATATACTGGGGTAGATACTCAGCATCTCCAAACGTCTTGAATATTTTTTCAAATCTCTGTTTTTAATCATGCACGTTTTAGTGTGTTCCAACCCAGGGGATGTAGCTCAGATGGTAGAGCGCTCGCTTAGCATGCGAGAGGTACTGGGATCGATACCCAGCATCTCCAACTCTTCAGAAAATTGTTTTTAACAACACAGGCAATATTGAAATACGTCTAATCATAATGTAATCAACGACATGTGGCTCAGATGGTACAGCGATCGCCTTGTACGCGAGAGTTACCCTGTATCTCCAAAGCTCTGTAATGTCTTTTCAAACGTACCTACTTTTAATAACACAGGGAATATTGAAATACGTGTAAGTATATGTTTAAGTGCATGTTATTCAAGGGAATGTAGCCCAAATAGTAAATCACTTGCTTACTATGCGAAAAGCTCTGGTGGCGGTACCCAGCATATCCAGACGCCGTTACTCTTTTTCAAACTTGTGTCTAATCACACAAACTGTATTAAAACACGCTTAGGTGTTTTTTATTTCATAGATTGTTTCATCAAGATGTAGCTCAGATGGTACAGCGATCGCTTGCCATACGACATATACTGCATCGATACCCATCATCTCCAAAGGTACTTAATGCTTTTTCAAATTTATCTGTTCTAAATAACGCAAACAATATTAAAACATGTTTATATATACGCAATTCAAGGGATGTAGCTCAGATGGTTGACCGCTCGTCTTCCATATAAGAGGTATTGGGCAGATACCTAGCATCCCCATCGTTTTTAAAAAGTTATCTGTTTTAACAACGTAAGCATATTGAAACATTTAAGTTTACATCATTCGAGTTGTGTAGCTCAGAGGGTAGAGCGCTCACCTTGTGTGCAAGATGTATGGGAATCGATACTCAGAATCTCTAAAGGTTTCGAATATTTTTCAAATTTGTCTGTTCTTCAATAACGCAAACAACACTAAAACATGGCTAAGTATGTTGTCTACGAGGGGGTGCAACTCAAATGGTAGAGTGATCGCCTTACGTGCAAGAGGTGCGGGATTCGATACCCAGAGGCCCTAAACGTTTCGAATATTTTTCAAAATTATCTGTTCTTTAATAACGCAAACAACATTAAAACATGTTTAACCGTGTTGTCTACGAGGGGGTGTAGCTCAAATGGCAGAGCGATCGCCTTGCACGCGATAAGTACTGGGATCAATACCCAGCATCTCCACTGATCTCAAAAAGTCAAATGTTTTTAACAGGGCAATATTGAGATACGTTTTAGCAGGTCGTCTATTCTTAATAACGCAAAGGATATTAAAACACGTTTAAGCGTTTGATATTCAACGTAATGTATCTTAGATGGTAGAGCGCTGGCTTTGCATCCTAGAGGTACTAGGGTCGATACTCAGCGTCTCCACTCACTTTGAAAAGTTACGGTTTTTGACAACGCAGGTACTATCGAAATACATTTAAGCTTGTAATATTCGTGAGGAAGTAACCCGCATGGTAAAGCGCTCGCTTAGCCTTCCAGAGGAAACGGTATCAATACCGAGCACCCCTGAAGGTCTCGAATGACTTTTGAAGTTGATCTCTTTTTAATAATGCAAACAATATTAAAATACAGTTTAGTGTATTTAAGGGATTTAGCTCAGAGGGTACCACCTCGCTTAACATGTCAAAAGTACTGCAATGGATACCCAGCATTTCCAATTTTTTTTAATTTACCTGTTTTTAATAACACAAACAACATTAAAACACGTTTAAGCATGTGTTATTAAAGGCGATGTAACTCAGACGGTAGAGCGCTCACTTTGTATGCGACGTGTACTGGGATTGATACCAGGATCTCCAGTTTTTAAAACGTTATCCGTTTTTAACAACACAGGCAATATTGAAATACGTTTGTACGTGTGTAATCCAAGGGGTGTAGCTCAGATGGTAGCGCGCTCGCTTAGCATGCGAGAGGTATTGGGATTGATACCGAGCATCTCCAATGGTCGTCGTGATTTTCCAATTTATCTGTTCTTAATAACGCAAGCAATATTAAAATACGTTCAACCAACAATTACTCAAGGGCACGTAGCTAGTGATACATCTCCTGATTATCATCCGCCAGGTAGTGGGGTCGCTTTCGAAGGTCTTCAACGTTTTTCAAATTTATCTGTTTTTAATAGCGCTAACAATATTAAAACACATCCAGGCATATGTTTCTCACGAGGGTGTAGCTCACAAGGTATCGATACCCAGTGTCCTCTATGGTCCGGAATGTTTTTCAAATTTATGTTTTTAACAACGCAAACAATATTAAAACGTGTACAAACAACTATTACTCAAGGGTATATGGCTCAGATGATACATCGATTGCCTATCATGCGCCATCTGATACCCACAATCCCCAGAGGTCTCCAGCGTTTTTCAGAATTTGTTTTTTAGTAATGCTAACGATATTAAAACACGTTTAAGGATGTGTCTCTCAAGGGGATGTAGCTCAGATGGTAGAGTGCTCGCTTCGCATGCGAGAGGAACTGGGATCGATACCCAGCATCTCCATTGATTTTGAAAAGTCATCTGTTTTTAACAACGCAGATAATATTGTGAAGTACGTCTAACCCTGTGCCCTCCAAAGCGATGTAGCTGAGAAGGTACAGCGCCTGGCTCGCATGCGAGAAGCACTGGGAGCGGTACCATCTCCGTAAATCCTTTTTATTTATGCTTTTAGTAACGTTACTATATTAAAACCTGTCTTAATCCGAGTGACTAGATGTGATACAGATCAGACTATATTGTTCAATATGCTAGTGACTGCAATTAATGCGCAGCATCGTCAAAGATCATTAAGTTTTTCAAATTTTCTCGTTTTCCATCACGCAAGCAATATTGAAATACGTTAAATTTTTTGTTACATTTAAGGGGGTATAGCTCAAATGGTAGAGCCGTACTTTAGAATGCTTGAGCTACTGGAATTCATAGAGAGCATCTCCAGAAATGTTCTTATTTAAATCATCGTTATTTCTATCTAACAAATCTGCCGAGAATCGTTTAGAATCTTGTTTTTAAAGCCGGTGTGTAGATATACGCCCATCCAGCTAGCTGAAGTACAGGAGAACAGATACATGGCAACCTGTCTGACCACGTAAAATAATAGATTAAACAAAAACAAAACAAAAGATTCTGTTAGAACATGAACATTTTATCTAAAATGTAAATGAATGAGTATATAAAAACATACACATCAACATGCTAGTTAAATGCAGGCGAAGATTTGATCCGAGCTGAAGCAAACGCATTAGAGATATTATGTAGTGGCCTTAATCATTCTCTTATGAAATAACCATTGATAAACATTTGGCGAAATACTATAAACGAATAAAAACAGTTTCATACACCAACCTAGACCTGTCGATGCTTCCATATCTATATGAAGGCTTTTCTCACAAGCAGGTTCGTTGGAGAGCTTTTCTAACTAACGTTCTTTCAAGCTACTTATGTGAAGAGTTAGCGAAAGGTATATTTTGCATGCTTGCAACGTTATGTCGATGCACACTAACCGATCTTTTTCTAATAACTTGTTGGTAGTATTACACTATGCAACAATGAACACTGCCGTTGCTTAGCTTCGTCGTGAGATTGTGTGTATTATCGATGACGATGAGCCTTGATCGCCAAGAGAAACGCGCTATACGAAAAGCGTAACGATTTTGTTGACACTAGAAACCCTGATGTTGTTGAGGTTGTTAGAGCGCCTAATACATCGTTAACAACTGTCGTGTGATGAATATAAGCTACGCGGCGGGCATCGTGAACGACGCAATACCCCAGTATCGAAAGCTTTCGAGGGGTCTCAGCATCCTGCTTTCATTCGTTAAAACAATTTCGAATATATGCGAAATATTGAAATCAGTGCCGGTTCAAACAACATAGCAGCTCGACTGCCACATCAAACACAGTAGAGCTAATCGAGTGCTATACAGGAACCTTGATTAGACCTAAAACGAGCCAAGGTTACCTCAATGGCTTTAGATCCTGGCTAACTCATACATCTAATGCTAGAACGTCGACATGCTTCCAAGCTGGTATCGGATGCTCTCAGGCTTAATCCACATAGTTACAGCGTTGCTGCGTCCTGATCGTTTCCGAGCTTCGTTCTATACACTATTCGAACATGTTATTTCGGGGTTTCCAGCCTCAAATTCGGAGGACAGGAAAAAAAGCGAGACAACGAGGGTGAGCCCGTAGCTGTAGGAAAAAGACGAAAGAAGGATAGGATGGACTTCTTCTTCGTACACACTGGATAAACAATGAGACCGGTTACTTATTGTCTAGCATGGCGGGCACCACTTTCTTTCCCCTTTGCTCTGATCTTTAAAGGAAGAAAAACTAGCCTCTAATGATAGGCGCGATGGATATGTTACGTAGAGGTTCGCCTCGATTCTTGATGGGAAGCGCTTTCGTCTGGTATCAGGTCACCAAGTGAACATTGTATGCGTTTATGATCATTTTGTTATTATGATTCTTAGTGTTGTCATTACCACACGCATACATACATGACGTAAACAGGGATATTGCCGTTGTTTTTATTGATTTTCTTGTCATCAACCGCAAAAAAAAGTGTACACACACAAAGTTAAGAGGTAACCCAATTAAGATGCATAATTTCAAATCAAAGAGAAAACGAAAGTAAAAATTTTCGATAATAAACCTAATGAGACTCGAGTTTGCCTGTTCGTCTCGTTTCGATAACTTAAGCGATAATGGCTGTTGAGATAACATTGCTAACACATATGATTACCAAAAAAAAAACAATTAAAATTTAAGTTTATGGATCGATAAAACGCTAGTATTTGATTTCATTTTGATCATAATATCACCCGCAGGCACCGGTATAAACTTAGGCAAAGCATGAGAAAGAGTCTACTATAACTTAAAACAATAAGATGATCTATTTACACTTCGATACTGTAAAGAAGGCTTAAACAAGCATCGAATCGGTGTTGCATACGCTACGAGTAGGGTGATTGGATATGATCACTTTGGTGAAGCAGTGCGTCGACACTAAAAACAGATTACATTGATTAAATATAATATATTCTTATTATATGTAGGCCAAATGAAGCAGCTGTATCAATCTCGAAAATGAGAATCGTACATACTTGATTCAGATGAAAGTGAAGCCACTATTTCGGCATTTGCAATACCGACACCGAACTCCCTGTACGCAAGTTATCGTGTCGGCGATCGCCCGTCATTATCACCCCCGCTCAGAAACACCCTTGAAGCTTAGAGACCAGATTAGGTTGTTGTGGAATAAAATGGGTCGAAATCCTAAATCGTTGGGGTAACCTAGCTAGCAAAATGGCTCCCTAATGTTCTAAGTAAAAACAAAATACCCAAAAGGCCAGGTACAGCCTAGCCGCAACCTATTGCTAAGCAGCAGTAGGAAGTTGATCGAGAAACGATTGCCAGAGCGAACAAGGTGACGAAGACAAATCAGTGTAGCACCCCATGAGAAATGCAATATTAAGGCAAAAATTGAACCGAACTCACAAGGGCCGCTCGTAGCTATTGCTTTTATGTTTTTTTTTTTTTGTCCAAGCAGCCTCAATGCGCCAACCTGTACAGAGTATTCAGCCTGTGACTTGTCTAGACAAATTACACAGTGATTCTATTCATATATAATAATAATACTACTACTACACAACTTTTTCCGTTGTTATTAGAAAACGATACTTAAAAGTGAAAGCAATATTTGAGATGGACTTTTCTAATATCAATAGGTATAACAAGCTGTTCACTTAAATTTTATCTGTGCATTGCTGAAAACGAGGTATGCCGTAAGCTTGCGCGTATCACAGAATTATAGTTGCTCGAGAAGCACGTCAAATGTCATTGTTTTCAAGTTAGTCAAAGTTCTCCACTGTATATTTGTTTCTCCTCAATTTCGACTCACCGTCGATGCACGTTCGGCCAGTATCGGCTAGACCGCTCGACCCGCTCAGTATCAGTCCGCCTGAATTTTAGCTCTGGCAACAACATACTTGCCTCATTCATTTCCGGTTCCCCCCTATTGTAGGCGCGATGTCGTTTTTTAACGTATTTATTCATTCGAGTCTTATAACACTGTAGCAGGCCGGCCTCGTGTGTTCTAGCTATCGCTGTCTGCAGGCTACAACACTTCTCGATCTACAGTTCTAGTCGCTTTGCGCTGCGGTAGCGATAACGTCATCGGCC